ACTTACTTTTAGTGGAGCTCATTTTTAACTATTTCATGATTTGGGGAGACACATTGCTGATTTTATTGTTCAAAGCCTTTCTTCTCCTTTTTCTTGTGGAATGAGTGATGTTCCACATGGAGGATTAAGATATATAATAACAAAACTGAAACTCTCACGTTTAGCTGTAGTTAGATTTATGGCTAAGTTTATGGAGATTACTCAAGGCTGGGAACACATGGCCAAGAACATCTCTGCAGTTACAACTGTGCGTGGAGTGAGATGTGGTTACAGAGTATGGACAGTAAACACCTCTGAGGTGGCGTGTCACTTCCCGTAGGCCCATGAGTCTTTCTGATTTAAGTAGAGAGGTGTCTGCTAGTCATGCAGACAAAACCTAGTTTAACCTCTGATTCCCGACATCTGGAATACTTATCTCTGTGGCTATTGTGCGGGTCACTGAACACTCCCTATTCTAATGGTCCACCGGAGAAGGATTTGAGCTTAAAAAGAGACCGCCTTGGGAAAAAAGCCACTTCAGAGTAGTTATCACTGAGAATACCAAAAGGATTTGTGATGACAGTGTCCCTCGGACTTCACAGCTGGACTCTGGACTGTGCTCCAGTGACAGTCTGCTTCCCTAACGCGTGAGAACATTCAAAGATCCTTCCTTTAGATGATACTGCAAACATAAGATTTTCTTTTTGGTTTCCTTTAAAGACTATTTAATCCGTATACTTAGTTTCACATTTTTATTTCTCTTCATGCCTCTGAGTGGAATCCAAACAATTTCAATGTGGGTTTTATCAGAAATGGTTGAGTGATTCAAGTATACTTCTTTGATGTCTGGCGCCCCATCTTTGCAAGTTTATATTCTTGATAAAATAAAGAGCACAAAGATAGACAGACAACTTGTTAATGACCACAGGGACTCTGGATCTTTCCCCACAGTTTCTGGGGACATAGTATTTCTCAAATGCTGAAATAGAATACAAAGTGTCGTTATCGCTGACTTGAGAATGCAGTGGGATTGGGTGGAGCAATTTCACTGTGGTATCTAAGACCATGGTCAGGGAAGTGGCAAGACCTTTACCCAGCAGAATGAACTATAAGCCATAAAAATATCTAGGCACAGCCCGAGTAAAGCACGTGTGCAGTTAGTTATTGAAACAAAAGTATGTGGCTTGCCTCAGGTTCCTGCTGACTACTTCGGGGCTGACTGACTTGGTATTTCTGTGTGTGTGTAATTGCTTTTCTGTATTTGAGGATAAACTACAAGGAACTGACACAATATAGCTTCTGGAGATTTATTCCTTCTAGTTAGTGGCAACTTTAGTTTTTTATTGGTTGAAGCCCCTTGGACAAGTTTTAAACTATCGCTTTGTGAAATGTTATGAGTATATTCCTGAAGCTTTAGCTTCCTAACTCAACTTTCAGAAGCGTAAGATTCTTCTTACATATCCATAGATAGATATTCTGTACATTTTTTTTCCTCCAAACTCATTGACAACATAAATAATCACCAGTTGTGTAACAAAGATACTGTCACATACTTGACCTCATTGGTCCTTACTCTATGGAACTGGTATAGTTATCATTGTTTGACAAGCGACAGAAGAGATGCTGAGCAAAACTGATTTGGGCAAGGTCAATGGGTGATAGAGGGGATTCAAATCAAGACTTTAGACTCCCAAGCACTTCATTGTTTTTTAAGCACAGTGTTAAGAACTTTTATTTTCCTCCTCATCAGAGAATATGGTAAGAGTCAAAGGTAAAAAATATACAACTTATTTATAATTATAGGCCTCGTCAGTGGCAGAGAATTAATTACAGAGTATTTACTGATACTTGTATCATGTCCATCACTATGTCGAGAAATCTATAGCATGATTTGTAAGAGCTTTTCCTTAGGCCTGCTTATAAGGAGATTTTCAGCTGTCTTCAGCACAAAGAGATAAATATAAACTCTATTCATACATATGCACCCCAACGTACATATATATCTTCATTATGAGGTTTCTAATCTTGCTTCTCTGCTTTACACTTGACACTATAACTTATTTATATTGTTTATTGGCTACAACTCCCAATAACATGTAGGCTCCAATTAGAGCAGAGTTTTTTGTCTGTTGCTGTTTACTGAGCTGTACGCTTAGACCCAGCAGCTAGAACTATACCTGGGTCACAAAAGGTGCTCCATAAATATTTGTGAAATGCGCGAATGAACGACAAGACTAACGTACATAAAACAAAATAATCAAGTCTTTCATAAGGCTCTCTGAAACCTGGCTGTAAAAAGCACTCAGAGATGGAGACAATTTAAAGTTGTCATTTTCAAAGAAGGTACTGGTGGGGAGAGAAAGGTGCCACTTATTCAGGGTAGTGATGTCGGGATTGGGTTTGGATACTTGAAACACAAAGGGAAGGTATCGCAGATGAAGAGAGAAAAGGAACAACAGTAAATAGATGGCAATAGACAACTGTGAAGATCCTGCCCTCCTTGGAGAAAACCCAGGCACTCCACATCCCAGCTTCCTAATTCATAACCAAGGTGTTTAGCTAATGATTTATTTATTATTATTATTTTACTTTTCATAATGTTTTACTTCTTTCTCTAGAATAGGCTTGTTTGGGAAGGTAGGTGTCTCACTGACAGTCCTCTCTCAAACTCTGGTTAGGCAATGTGTCCAGTCGTGTACTCTGTAGCTCTGGTTATTTATGATGATCATGGAAATATCAGCCTATCTGGAAAGTCCAGCATTCTGGGTCTCTATGCCAGGTGTGTCCAAACTTTTGACTTCTTAGCCACATAGGAAGTAGAAGAGTTTTGTTGGGCCACGCGTTCCATACACAATCACTAATTAAAGCTTGATGGTTCAAGCAAAGTAGACATTCTTAAGACCTATGCAGCTATGACCAAATTGAGGCTGTATCTAGGCATAGTAAATTTGTAAGCTTCTCTCAAATGGATGTTTTGGGGTAGGTGTCAAACAGATCCTTGAAATCTCACCCACAGGCGGTGCCTGTTGGCCAGTGGGTAGAGGACAGGCCTCATATAACAAGGATGGTGAGTTCGAACCTGGCCCCAGCCAAACTTGATTGTTCAAGCAAAGTAGACATGCTTAAGACCTGGGAAGGCATGGCCAAGTTGAGGTTGTAGCCAGGCATAGTGAATTTGTAAGCATCTCTCCAATGGATGTTTTTCAACAATTTATTCTTGAAAGTGCACATTTCCATATTTTTTAAAAATAATTTTATGGGTATTTTTTGTTTGTTTTGAATACAATGGTAAAAATAGAGTGCAGAAATAAATTATTTAACATGGTAGGAAAAAACACATTTTGTGAGTGGGTCAAAGCAATAGCTTTAGAAAATAAAAGAGACCCGGAAATGAATTACAGGTTTCAATGTGTAGTGCTGTGCTAGCTGACAAGTGAACAAACACTTCCCTAAATTAACAGCTCTTAATTGTAGTTTAAAAAGCCAATAAATGGATGGTTTAGATTTTTTCTCTCATTTCATCTTAAATGTTATGAAATATGACCCTTGTTGAGTTTTTCTTGCTTGAAAACATGGAACTAAAATTCATTTTTTCCCCAATGATTTTGGCCAGCTTAATCCCTCATTTCCATCTTACTGATTTAATAGAATTAGCATGTAATGTTTGTTAATAGCTTGTACATGCTTATTGCTTTGGAGATAGTAACCTCTTTTTGATAGGTCATGGTATTTTTTAATATGTGCCATCCCACTAGATTGCAAATAATAGTCTAGTAGGACTCTGCCCTACATTATTTGGATTGATGCTAATAGCTCTGAGGTTATTACTAGAATGTTCCTTTATAATTCTAACATATTTTGATCATTACTTATTTTTAGTTTTTGTATAGCATCGTTCCTTCAATGAGCTCAAGGCAAATTTTGCAAATGTGAACAATCTTCTTTGGTTAGTGTTTTTGGTTTGGAGGAAGAAACAACATAATATTAATTTTCTGCAACTGCATGTCTGATGGAATACCCTTCTCATCTCTTCCTTTTTCTGGGTTAGGGGCTTTTATTTTATGTAGGAATTTAACAGGAGGAGGAAGTGCTTAGACTTTGAATCACCAATGAGGAGGTTGAACCATTAAAACAAAATGCAGTGGACAGCCTTCAGGAAAAGCAGTGGTTAGCACAGGCAGATTGTCAAAAAATGCCATAGGTGTTTGTGAAAAACCTCTCTCTGTGAGGATCTCTTTTTCTAGTGAATGCCCCTAATAGAGGGACTTTAGTTGCAGCCTCCCCAGCCAGCGCTGTCTCATTATAGGAGATGTGGCCCAGTCATGGAATGTTTATTTTGTAACTAACCCCTCAGGCAGTGGAGGGAACTGTTTACTATTCCTTCTCCTTCCTAGTGTTTTTTTCCTCTTAATTAAAGAAATCACTGTTGAACTTCAGAACCCTCTCCAGGAAAAAAAAAATTAAACATAAAATGAAGGAAAAAAGGAAGAAAGAAAAGAAAGAAAGAAGAAAGAGGGGAGAGAGAGAGAGAGAAGGGAAAAAGAGAGAGAAGGAGAAAACCAGGTTGATAACTGTCTATGCCTTGTGCTTATTCATTCCTCAGGATTAGAACAATTGAAATATTCAGTGACCTTGTGTGTGTGAATATCTGTGAGAATGTGTGCACAGCCCTGGGAAGGAAACAGTGCAGCACACACAAGTATCTGTGTAAGCAGTGTTGCTATCCTGCAAACTAATGTTCTTGCCTTAGTCTTCAGGATAGCAATGTGTGGGAATCTGAAATCTGCATGTTAGAGTAAAAGGGAGGTTGCAGGAAGTTTTCTGTGTTGAACAGGGATGTGCTGACAGGGAATAAAATATGGAACGTGGTGCAATCTTACATAAACAAAAGTCAGTCATTTAGAAGCTAATAGGAATATCTAAATTCTGAATTAGGTTTGGATTTCAATCTGGTTTGCAAAATCATTAGCCGATGACACCATACTATGTGAAGGGAAAGTTTTGTTGTCTTTTCATTTTCACCACCAACAAATTATTGCAAAGGAGATAGACACCTAAAAGAAAGGAACTACAAGAGGTCATTTGGAGGAGCTGATAATCTTAAAACATATTCCCAAGACACATTTATAACACATTCTCATACATATTTCCATCTATGCCAGAGCTACTAACTTTTTAAAATAATGAAAATATATGGCTGCTAAAACATGTCCTTATTATTACAGACAGTTTAGATGGGAATGTGAAATGCATCCCCAGATTGAGGTTCTGATTTAACAAATACCCAGTATTAGATCTCTGAAGTACGTAGGTAAAAGAAACAATTGCAATCCTTGATTTATGTAACAACTGTGTTCCTGATAAGTTGCACCATAATTAAATGAGAGGACTTTTACGTAGCAATGTGTTAGGAAGCTGTAAGGCAGGAGGGGCTCTGCTCTCTTAAACACGGGATTCGGGATTGGTAGTTTCACATATGAGAGACTTGATCATTTATCCTAGGAGCAAGTCAGTTCTAACATTGGAAACAAGCTCAAGTTTCCCTGCTCAGGACTGTCTTGTGTGGCTGTGCAGGCTGCACGAAACACAACCTTTAGAGTCAGCATTCACACAGAGGAAAGTGCAGAGGTGACCCCTGAAACTGTGGGACGCTTGGGATACACAGCCACACCCAGAGGCGCTGCTACGCCTTCTTGGTTGGGTTGCACAGTGTGGAATTCATCCTAGTGGTGAACTGAGAGTGACTTCTAATATAATCTGAGTGATTCAGAGAAAACCTTCTCCTAAGCATTTTTATGCCAAGAACTAAGAAATTGAGTAATAATATATCCTCAGAGATAAAGAGAATTTTCCAAATCTCTCTTTTTCCTCTTTTATTCTTTCCCTTAAGTGAAAATAGTAAACCTGGGGTAAAATTTGCTTAAAGAGCAAATGATCATTTTGAAATGCCATTAATGAGGTTCTAATTTCTCTCTTTGAAGAGCATTGTATTTTGTATATTGAATTTTTTTTTTAACAAAGCTAACAATATGCTATGCAATTCTTCATGCTTTAAAAGTATTTGATATAAATTGTATTCAGTGACTCCTGTGACAGTGCCATGAAAATGCCATCATTTTTCCATGTTGCAGACAAGAAAATTCTTGCTCAGGAAAGAACCGACTCGCTGAAGTTCATCCAGAGAGTAAGGACAGAGCTAGGAGGAGAATCTCATTCTTTCTGCCTCTACATTCACTGTGTTCAGCCTAATTATTTAAACTTTCATATTAAATAATAAAAATTTAATATGCATATATGTATCTAATATATCTATGATTTTTTTTTCTTTCATCGTATTCTCTGTCCCTTTTCTTTTTGTCTGTTACTGGAGCAGTGAAATTGAACATATACTTACCAAGTAGTGACATCAAGGAAAATATATCTTGCCGGGTTGGAAGAAAGTACTGAAAGGGTAAAAATATTATGTATGGGAAGATTAATTAAGCAGCTGGTCTTTGTCTCAAGTTCATTCTTACGCTATCACAAATTCTTTAGGATCATGTATATAAATTGTCACATGTAATCAATAAATCCTATAAATCTTCCCTTGCCCCCTGCCATCAAAAACACTGGGTCATTGGTAACTTTTACTTGTTAGCAGGTTGTTTTAATTATTGGGTTAAGAGCAGTTTTGTAATTTCCGGAAATCTTAAACGTCTTGTCTGTTGTGATGGAGGTGTGGTAGCACTGATTGAATCACTCTGTCATCTTCACGTATGATAGCGACTCAAAAAGTTAAACTTGCCTGTGTTGGTAATAAGTAATCTGTAGGATTAATCAAGTGAACCATGTGCCAGTGTCAGAACCAGTTCGTCAGGCTCTACCAGACTGACCTACATAGCTTCTTAATGCAACTCTTTGTAGAAAAGTAATTCTAATATTACCACTGATGTACCTTTTACTTAACCTCGTTTATTGAGTATCTGTATTTTACTAGATAAAGAAATTAGAAGGACTAAAGACATAGAGTAAAAAGAGGAAGGGATCTACTTTCTATGCACAATGACCTTGATATTACAGAGATAATACCTAAATATATAGCTCAATGTGTATAATTTGCTTTGAAAGCCCTAACTACTTTATTAAATAAATGCATTTGTCACAACTTATGGTGAACCTTCTGTCAAACAACACCTGAATGATTACAAAAAGCCTATTTTAAATGTACATGAGAATAAATAATTTCATGAATGGAAGTGCATATTTGGTGGGTATAGGTGGTATTTTATCATTGGTTTCATTCAAAATTTTAAGCATTTCTTTACAACATCTTTGTATACCAAGGGGTAGCATAAAAAAAAGGTTAAAACCTATGTGTAATTACTATCTCAGAATAAAATACCAAAATTAAAATTTGCTACTTTTTGATTATATGAAAGTAGCAAATTTTAGTTTTCTTTATGCTCGTAATGACGATTATGTATAATTAGCACATTTACTCTGTTTTATCTTCAGGTTTTATTTATAAATATTTCTCTCTTGGAACCTGCATGAATGAAGGCTGAATCTCAAAATCAAGACATGTTGAACTTTGAATAATGTCCAGATTTTGATTCCAATCTGTGTCTAAATCTGAACCACTCAGTTCTTCATGTTTATTGGAATCCTCCTAACACTGGAATTTCCTGGGAGATATCCAGTACTTTCGGGGCTGTAAACAGCAAAACAAACAGCCTTTCTTGTAACATGTTATGTCTAGTGCTAAGTGAATTTGAGAAGTTTATGGGTGTGGGGAAATTTACTTAATATTTTTTACGAATTTATAAAATTGCTTCAGTTTAAATTTTGACCAAAAATTCATCTCAGGAGTATAATTTTTGAGAATATTATCTTTGCTATTAGTTATAAATATGTTACATTTTGTCTAAGCAATAAAACATTATTTTATACAATAAATCATGACAATAAAATCCTCATGGTGATAGAGCATTATCACAGAATACGATATATAGTATGCTTCATGTCAACTATATGCACGCATGTGTGTGTATGTGTGTGTATATATATATATTTTAATTTAATCTCCAATAACCATCTGAATTTTTATATGTTTTTCTATTGCATATCACTAAAAAACATAAAACAAATAGAAATAAATCTCTTGTTAATACTTTGATAGGTTAAACATGCTTGATGGTAAACACCATCAAAGACAACAAATGTCTTTGACACATAAACCTGGCTTAATTTTTCCGTTACAAAGTTCCAAAACATCCACAAGAAACATCTCATAACATTGATTTTCCTCTTTCTTCTTCATAAAAAATCTTGGTGTTTTCAGATTGGCATAATGCCACTCAGCTAAAAAGTTACATTTTCTCAGCCTCCTCAGCATCCAAGTGTGACCATACAACTAGGTTTTGCCCAAAGAGAATTAAGTAAAAATGTTGCATATATTTCTCAACAGCCTCCTTAAAAAGATTAGGGTTTTCTTCTTCCTCCCTTTCTTTTTCATACTACTTAGAAGGTGGGTATTTTTAAGTACATCTGTAGCTCTAGCAACCATCCTTGACCAGCATATGAGGGTCTTGAGAATGGAAGCCAGGTGCTAGAGATGGCAGAATGACAACTAAAGACAAGAGACTGGGTACGTCATTGAACCAGAAAGCTGCCGTACTTGCCTTAAATTATCTCCTTTGGAATTCTTTTATGTGCAAGAGAAATAAACGTATCATGTGTAAGCCACTATTATTTGCAGAATTTCCATTACATGCAGCTGAACCAAGTCATAATGATTTTTGGACTATGATTAGGTTACTGCAAAACAGAACCTAAAACAGTACACTGGCTAAGTGAAGCAAGTAGGGAAGGAGATAGTAAAGGTTGGAAAACTATTGACCATGTTACATGGGTGCCAGGCAGGCATGTGCTCAAGTTGTTGCCTGCTGCACTCTGGAAGTGATAGGTATGTGATAAGGTATAGTTGGAGCAATGATAGGAAAAATTCAAAATATTAGCTTGTTTTGGTTGTCTTTTGTTCTCTTCATCAAGAAAAGTAAACTCAAACTACAATAAACCCATCAGAAAGTCTAGATGGTGGAGACTCAGAGAGGTACATTTTATCTTCAGCCTGTTATCTAATTATGACATACAGACCTATAATTTCAAGCCTAATAGAGTTGATGAAACAAAACCATCTTAACACACCAAATTGAATTACTTTCCTTTAAGATTTTTCCTCCAAGGATTTAGCCAACTGGCAGCTGGCAAAAGTCCCATCTAGGGATTTGAATTCTACCTACATTGTTTCTGAAGGTCTCAGGGTAAATGACATTTATCAGTGCAGATGCCAGTATGTTAAGGATTGACATCTTTGAGTTAGCAATTATACTAGACATGATCTTTATTTATGGTTACTACGACATGGATTTTACCCCCCCCCACACTCTTTTCTAGAAAACTTTTTGGGGGGACCAGAGGGGCATCTTCTAAGGTCTACAGTTATAAAAAAAAGAACAGACTTCTATAAAATGTGATCTCAACCAAAGAAAAAGGATTGAGTACAAGTTTTGTTTTCTTTTGGAGGTATATAGATCACAAAAGGCTGGGATCTTCTTAGCAAGAAGCCACTTTGTCATGGCTTTGTCATTTAAGTAGCAACGATGGGACAGGTGAGCCTGAACCAAGATGGCTGACATCTTTGGTGCCAGATTAAGTGTGTCAATGTAGCCTATGCACAGCTTGTGATCACTATGGCAGTCCCAGGTTTCTGAGTCTATACAGACCCAGTTTTTGACATCTACACATTGCAGAAAGTATCAGCAATGTCAGTCTGATTCGAATGTCTTCTAATTTCTTTGTGCATTGGAAATTTGGAGGGCAAAAAGAAAAGAAAATGAAGGCTGATATTAGTGGAAAATTTGTACTTAGGAAGAAAGATTTTGGACTTTCTATTAGTAAGAAGGTGGTAGTTTAAGAAATCATTCAAAAAAAATTTTAAGTGGTTACATTTTCACCTTATGTTGCTGAAGTTAGTTATGCTACATGCATGAAATAATGGCTTAGACCACCAAAGCAGTTTGAAAATCTCTACCGTGCAAATAGGCTTTTGATTGAGATATGTGTGTTCTTGTGCAAGAAAAAGTAATTGTGAAATTAATATTTTAAATGGACCAATTTAATGTGTAATATGGGTCAGAACAGAGCTTCCCAAACTTTTGTGGGCAAAATTTTTATAGAAAAAAATATTACAGCTCACTGTATGAATAGATAGTGGGGGGAGGACTATTGCTTGAATCAGGGGTTGCTAGGCTCAGGTCTTGAGAGGATCAGTCTCTTCACTTGTTACTTGTGTGACCTAAACCACATTATTAAACTACAAGGTCCTTATTAACCCTTTAAATCTTGATACTGATAATACCTATATTCTATAGGTTTTACGAACTTTAATGTAATAATTTATGTAAAGAGTTTAGCAGAGTAAATGGATCTCAATGAATGCTAGTTGTTCCCAGTTCCTAAGTGTCTACAAAATTCTCTTTAAGTAGGTGACAAATCAATGAAACTGGAATAGATTGGCTTTAATATGAGAGCGAGATTCCTGGGAAAAAATAGAAATGCAATAATCAGTAATCTGTCTCCATTAGTTTTCTCCCGTTTCCTCTCCCTTTCTTCCTCTCTCTCCTCCCACACTTAGAATGAAGACTGCTGGAAATTCCTTAATAGCCATAAGACAATAATTCTACTGACTATAAAGTGTTTGACTTTTTCATAATTTGCTTTCTTTTTATTTTCAGTTTCTGGCTTTGATTCATTTTCTTTTCATATTCTTATGCCATATTCTTATGCCAACGAATCTATTGTCTTTTGTCCCCTTGACTGATCCTGATGAGTTCCACTCATACATTAGATCTTGCATCTAGTCACTAGAGAAAAGGATTATAATCCAACTGGAATCAAGGTTGATATCTCCATTTATTCAAACATACAAAATGCATATGTACATTCTCTTGCTCATTTTGGCATAGATTGTTTTTTCTAATAACTTCTGGTCAGAATTTCTTCATTTACTGTAAAAGTACCTGAACATTAACCTTGGTGTAATCCCCCAAAATGTTCTCTCTGAGCTCCTTTATCCCCACAAATCTCCTAAAATTCTCATAGTACATAGCTTTTCTCATGTACATAGCTTTTTTTCATGTTGCTGAAATTTTTTATTTATTATACTTTAATTAGTTTAAGTTTCTTTTCATTTTCTTGTGCTCTGCTTTATTATGCTTTGCTGATAATATGCTTATTATGCTTTTCTTACAAATTGAAAGTTTGTGGCAGCCCTACATTGAGCAAGTCTATTGGTGCCATTTTTCCAACAACTTGGGCTCACTTTGGGTCTCTATGTCACATTTTTGTAATTCTTACCATATTTTGAATTTTTCATTATCATCGTATCTGTTGTGGTGATCTGTGATCAGTGATCATTATTGTTACTATTATAATTGTTTTAGAGATGAGGAACTTACTAGATAAATGTTGTGTGTTCTTACTGCTCCAGTTTTTGGCCTTTGCTCCCTCTCTTTCCCTCTCCTCATCTTGCCTCATTCCTTGAGACACAGTGATATTGAAATTAGGCCAATTAATAACTCTGCAATGGCATTGAAGTATTACAGTGAAAGAAATAGTTACATGTTTCTCACTTAAAATCACAAGCTAGAAATGATTAAGCTTAGTGAAGAAGGTGTGTTGAAAGCCAAGATAGACCAACAGCTAGGGCTCTTCCATCAGTTAGCCAAGGAGCAACTACAAAATAAATGTTATTGGAAGAAATATAAAAATATAAAGTGCTATTCTAGTGAACACACCAACAACAAAAAAGTGGAACAGCCTTATTGCCAATATGGAGAAGTTTCAGTAGTCTGGGTAGAAGATCAAGCCAGCCACAACCTTCCTTTTAGCAAAGCCTAATTCAGAGCAAGGCTGCTTCTCTTTTCAATTCTGTGAATGTTGAGAGAGATGAGAAAGCAAGAGAGAAGTTTAAAGCTAGGAGAATTTGATTCATGAAATTTAAGGAAGAAAGTTATCTTCATAATATTAAAGTACAAAGTGAACCAGCAGGGGCTGATGGAGATGCTGCAACAAGTATCCAGAAGATCTAAAAGATCACTAATGAAGATGACCATACTAAACAACAGATTTCTAATAAGCACACAACAGCTTTATATTGGAAGAAGATGTCATCTAAGGCAGTTGGAGAGAAGTCGGTGCCTCCAAAATCTTCAAAGGACAGGTTGACTCTCTTCTTGGGGCCTAATGCAGCTGATGACTTTAAGTTGAAACCAATGTTCATTTGTAATTCCAAAAATCCTAGGGCCCTTCAGAATAATGCTAAATCTACTCTGCCTATAATCTATAAATGAAACAACACAGCTTGGAGGATAGCACATCTGTTTATAGTATGATTTACTAAACATTTTAAACCCACTGTTGAGACCCACTGCTCAGAAAAGAAGATTCCTTTCAAAATCTCACTGTTTATTGACAATGTACTTCATTATCTGAAAGCTGTAATGTATAGGTACAAAAAGAGTTTAATGTTGTTTTCATGCCTGCTAACATAATATCCATTCTGAAGCCCATGGATGAAGGAGGAATTTTAATCTTCAAGTCTTATTATTTAGGAAATACATTCTATAAGGCTATTGCTGCCATGGATAGTGATTTCTCTAATGGATCTGGGCAAAGTCAACTGAAAACCTATTGGAAAGGATTCACCACTGTCAATGCCATTAAAAATATTTGTGATTTATGAGAGAAGGTCAAAGTATCAACATTAAAAGGAATTTGGAAGAAGTAGATTCCAATCCTCAGGGACTTCAGTGGAAGACATAACGGCAGATGTGGAGGAAAGATCAAGAGAAGAAGAATTAGAAAGGGAGCCTGAAGATGTGATTTAATT